CGCCGGGTATAAGTAATGTGGTGGTGCAAGATGACACCAACAGCGAGTCCTGCCGAACTCCCCAAAGTTGAAGATGACATCAGGATTACAGCTCCATGCGCAGGAGCAGTGAACACAGAGGCAAGCACCAGTTGGGGAACACTCCATGGAGATCACGCAGATGAGCGGACGCCTCCAAGGTATGAACGAACACACCTAGTGTAAGCCACCTTAGCAACAGACAATTACCGCCTGCACCTTGGGTTCTAACATGGTGAGTATGAGACCAACGAGCTTCAATTGCATCCAGTGAGCGCTTACTCAACTCGCATGACAGCGTACTTTGATAGGCATTCAAAACAGCTGGTTTCGCCAGTTGGCTCTTGTCAATGCGCTCACAACGCCGACTTGGGCGTCCGCCAAAACGCATCCGCAGGTCAGCACATACAAGTGCATGGTCGGTGTCCACACCTGTGCTCCAAATCGATCGACAGTTCTGGACGTAACCACTTTGTCGGTAACGTGTCGCAATGTGATCGATTTGCGTCCAAGGCTGGTTCGAGACTGGTGGGCGCCAGGTCACCCTCCGGCGGGTGCTGTGTCGGAAATTAGTGCTTGCAAGATATAAGCGAGCATCATCACACAAATGAAGTAACTGCTCCCCGTTATCATTACGGAAGCCTACACCATTTTACCTGCCCAGGTGCAGTTCATCAGTGGATAATTTTCCAGGTTGAGCGTTCAGATACCCAGTCAGCACAACACTGTCCGAGCTCCTTCTGCGGTGAAGGAGCTCGTTCAATTGACGATAGAAGTCGTCTTTTACCGAATCATTGATATTGTGGGTGCATAGGCAACGATGACGGATAGACACCTGTTAGTCCTGTGCGACTTCGAAGCTTTGAACGACCCAGCCACTCGGACAACATACATCCGGCCACTGATTGAAATCCAGTTAACCAGAATAGCTTCAGCCCGGGGACTCAGGGCAATACCAACACCAGCTTGACCGGTGCTCGAAGCTGCATCGTCAACGGATAGGCGCAATGAGAAAGTGCTGCTGATGTCACCAGAAGGGGATCGTAAAGTGAGCACAGAGCTCCAGTCTTGCAGGCGGGTCTCTGATAAGCAGCAGATATCTATCGAAAGCGTCTCTAATGTTCGGGCAAGTGCTGTCTGTTGACCGATCTGCAGCAATGTGCGTACATTGAACTATGCCTATCTGAAGGATGATGGAGGTCTCCAAATGGAAGTCGATGAACTGTGCTTGGTCACTTGCTTGGATATGGAGTTGTCGAAAGGGAGGTAATAACGATCCACTTTCACATGTGCGTTTAAAATGCAAGGTAAATGCTCATAAACGCGAGGTGTGGGCCAAGAATTGGTGTTTGAAAATAGGGGGGATAAAAGTGAAGCTGGACCGAAGCGGTAGGAGAGGAAAAGGGTAAGAGGGGAGTAAACGGACGGGAAGTCTTGAGCAGTAGCATCCAAACCCATACCCATCCTGTTGGATGAAGCAAATAGAGCACCGTTTATTATCCTCTGATGTGGCGAGAGCATCAAGAAACTGTCTGACGAAAGATAAGTAGTATTGCGTGAGCAGGATACTGTCAGGTTGCCCAGGCCTAGACAGGAGAACGACTAGGGTTTTCAACCAGATCCTTTGGATCAAAATGCTGACCGCAAAGCAGCAGGTTCGGCGTTAGGCTGCAAGGAGTCTGTTTTAAGTAATCACCCTCATTCCAACCCCCAAGCTGAAGGATCAGGAGGCTGAATTTATCTGGCCTCTAGCCATGGATCAATCTGGTATGGGTGGCTCTGAAGGTACAAAAAAGCACCACCAAGCATAGCTCAATGGATCACTGAGGCACACAAACCAGTCTCATTGGGATATATATATATATATATATATATATATATATATATATATATATATATAAGCAACTGCCTGGTCAAGAGACATAAGGCCATCGAAAATCCATGGAATGAGTGTGCACAATAAGAGCTCAGATCGTACGGTGGTAAGCAAGCAAAGTTTTCCAATGATGGCACTGCTACAATTGTGAAAACAGCGAGTGCACTAGCAAACTGTTTGTTGCCCGCCTGAAAACACTGCACTCCATGAGGCGTTTAGAGGTTATTTCATCTCATCAGATGGAAATAGCAGGCATCGAACCCTGTACCATTGGGAAGTTAGTTGTAACCCCTACCCCTAGATAACCGGGTCACGACGAGCAAAGCATGGCACAACGGTCCCGGATTCGATGCCTGCTATCTCGATCTGATGAGAGGAAATAACCTCGAAACGCGTCATGGTATGCAGTGTTTTCAGGCGGGCAACATGTAATTCGCTTCTGCTTCATCAGCTACGGTCCTAGTGATCGAATGGCCAAGGTTCACTTAAATGAGAATCGCGGTCCACTTTGAGATTGCGTCTCGCAATCCATTCACACAACGTGTATTTCAAATTGACCATCCAATCTGTCTTTAACAGTTGTGGCAAGCTTTGCCCGTCGTGACCAATTGGCTTAGGGTTAGCGGCCACAACTGAAATCCCAATGGTCTAGGGTTGGATGCATGCTATCTCTATCTGATGAGAGGAAATAACCTCGAAAAGCGTCATGGTGTGCAGTGCTTTCAGGCGGGCAACATGCAATTCGCTTCTGCTTCATCAGCTACGGTCCTAGTGATCGAATGGCCAAGGTTCACTTCAATGGGAATCGCGGTCCACTTTGAGATTGCTCGTCGCAATCCATACACACAACGTGTGCTTCAAATTGACCATCCAATCTGTCATTAACCGTTGTGCCAAGCTTTGCCCGTCGTGACCCGGTGGCTTAGGGGTAGCGGCCACAACTAACATCCCAATGGTCCTGGGTTCGATGCCTGCTATCTCGATCTGATGAGAGGAAACAACATCGAAACGCGCCATGGAGTGCAGTGTTTTCAGGCGGGCAACACCCAATTTGCTGCTGCTTCATCAGCTACGGTCCTAGTGATCGAATGGCCAAGGTTCACTTCAATGGGAATGGCGGTCCGCTTTCAGATTACGCGTCGTAATCCATCCACACAACGTGCACTTCAAATTGATCCTCCAATCCGACTGCACTAATTTGATGGCAAAAAGCGTCAATTCGGTGGAGCCGAGGCTGCGTAATTTATATGAGCTCATGGTGCACATTTTTCATTAAATATTAAGCAACGGTTCAACGATAGGAGTGTACCACTGTAACAGGGCATGGTAATACCACGCCATCCGTTTGAGGATGGGTTCAGTAGTGCTTTGAGATGCGTCGTTTTATAGATGTAGGAGAACAAATATATGAAGAAGGATCTGAAATTATCCAAAGGTCTGTTCTTGAGGTGATAGTCGGTCAGGAGTGGTTTCGATAAGGTTGACTTTAATGGTAAGGTGCTTGGCTCGAATGCACTTTGAAAGACATGTCCGCCAATTGGCTTGCGCAGGTGTGTAGTTCAAGGCACCTGCCTGATTTGATAATTGCTCTACCGGATGGAAGTATCGTCCAAAATCGGTTTGTGAAGCGTAGAACAGAAACGGCCCTACATTACTAAAGAAAGGGCAACAAGATAAATTCGGGAACACAAAAGCAAAGCGTTCTATTCAGAAATTGTGGTAGAGAGAAAAACAACTCGGAGACGGCTCAGTGTGATGGGTCGCTTAACACAGTGGTTCAAGCGTATGTACGTAGCCCCAAAATGTGATCCGCGAAATTTCCCGAAAGGTTATAATTCCGCTGTAGTTTTGAACGTGATCTATTTATTGTACAGTTTGACGACACAGCTGCAGTAAAAAGATTTTTAAATTATGGCTGTCAGTCTACATTAGCCTAATGATTGACCAAAGAAAAGCAAACGCCTTCCAAGAAGTAACCTGCGTTTGGCAGAAACGTAATGTCAGGGAACTAAGCTGTCGAATATCAGAAAGTTATTGTGGTAATCTCCTGTGATGTGATTGGCAGAGGATGGAGCGGTCGTTCTTCACCCATGCAAGTTCACATAACTCAGAATGTCTCCTAGGGAAGGCGAAAAGTAAATCATGAGATATGGTCTCTTTTTGCGGTTAGCTCGAAGGTCGCTATCCTCCGAAATAGACCAATCGGAAAGAAAGATCCATTGGCGCGACCCCTCCTGGAGAAGCCCATAATGAAAGCTTGGCGATTTCAATGTCTCATGAGTGTGCTCATTCGAGTTGGCGAGTTGAAGAGAAATTAGCACAGTGACGTTAAAAAAAATTACTGGATTGTCTATTTTAGTTTATACTTCCCTCAACGTTCGGTTTATTGAAGTGATCAAATGACTTCTTTAAAGCAATTATTGCATTTAATTACTTATTTTCAACATTTGTACGTATACTAAGCCGCTACATAAAGACAGGAAGATTGATAAATGTGTCACAGAAAGGTTCAACATCGAATTCTGATGTTATAGTATTTGGTATCAGATTCTTCCGTTAAGGTTTTACAAAGTGTCACTGTCTGATCTGTTGTGTAAAATAAAGAATTCGTATCCTGGTATAGCGAAGACGACTATCGCCGTGCTTCTCCCATTTGCCGCAACTTATCCAGGTGAAACTGTATTACCACATTACAGCTGTACAAAAACAAAGTACCGCAATAGACTTGAAGCTCAAGCAAATATCAGTTTAATTTTCCTCGAAACACCAAACATCAAAGAAGTCAGCACTGTATGTGAAAAATAAGTTCACCCGTCAAAGTTAGGATTTATGTACCTGGTTTTTATACTTACATTCAACATCTTTCATTTTATTTACCAACCTAAAAGAATATTCGTGTTAGTTCAATGTACAGTAATGAACATCATCAGAACACTCCGCCTCATTCGCAGTTTATTAGAGTTTAGTTTTGTGGTCACCAAAATCTCAAAAGGACCGCTGTGGGAGCTTTCATTAAAAATGGATGCTTGGACGAAAAAGTGTGAGAATCGTTGCTCTAGGAAGCAATGTAGACAGACAAGTGGAACTGTTTTAAAAGTTTCCGTCAATGTTGAGCAAGTTGTCGAATGAGGTACAACTAAGATGCGAAAGCTCCGAAATTCCTCAAATACCAGCGGGTCAGACAGCAGTGAGTTATAAGCAATCGATGCAGAATTGACCGCGTGTTCCAAGTCGGAATGACAATTTGGCAGACACAAAGATGAGGCTAGTATGTAAATCGATAAGGTGCTAATGCTCGGGCGGAAGAAAAGAAGCAGTTAAATGTGCATCAATCAACTTCAGACAGTTAGGCAAGCTGATAAGACAGGAGAACTGGTATGTAGGGAATGTAATGGAAGCGATATGGGTAAGTTTTAGACAGCCGGCTTATCAAGAAAGCAAAATTCTGGGGGACAAAATAATTGCCAGAGTATGATGCGCGCGAGCACATCGGAGTCAACTGCGATGATGCGTATGAAGTGGTACTGAGCTTTGACATGCAGTGGAAGCTTGACTGCGCGCATGTGTGTCATCATTCGATAGTAATGGTAGTAGTAGCGCTAGGACCCCGCGTTGCACATTACTGAAGGCTGACTATAAGTGTTCCTCGAATTCGAGAGCGCGATGGACTCGGTCGCTCTCCATAATCTGTTCGCCAAACTGGTTTCGAAAAATGCCCCTCATCAAATGCGTAAACGCTTTAGTTGTTGAGTTTTGGAGTTTTCACCGTGTGTCTAGACAGCGAACGCAATTACTTCTGATGCCAATGAGTTCGAAGTAAACATCGGTCCGGGAATGTTTAGTTGTTGCTCCTCTCAACACCGGTCATTTCGATCAGTAGAACCCAACCCTACCCATCGCAATGAGGCTGGACGTTACCGTGATGCGGTGGTTTGCGTCCCTCAGAAATCCAATGAGCTATGTTGGATGGTGCTTTTTGAAGCTTCAGAGGCACTCATACCAGATTGGAAGTCAGTGTAAGGGAACATATATTTTCGAGAATTCTTCATCAGGCTTCTACAGCCCCGGTGATGTTGCTTCACTCGCTCCGATAGACGCATTTTCGTATGAGCAATGTATTCTGCTCCACAGGAGCAGGAAAAAGAAAAAATACACAATGGATTGGAGTGGACGGACAGGCCTCTTATTCTTTGAGTTCAGTTTCACCATCGAAGTGCTAGTGAACTGGATTTTCATTCGTGCTCCGCAGTAGGTACATTGGAGTGCACGCGAAAAACGAGGAAATAGAAGTTTCGTCAAAACTTTGCCCTTGCATTGAAGCTGTAGGAAGATCGGCTTAAGTCCTACTGTCAATACTACGGGCTGTGTGCTTCTGTTGCACGTTAATTCTAATGAAACTTTCGGAGAAGCCATTCTCCCTCAGCACCAAGCGAATGCACACCAATTCCTCTGGAAACATGTCTTCCGAGTAAATTTTTTCACCTCTCACTAGGGTGTGGATAAGATTCCTTTTATACCGTAAAGGCACAAAGAAGTAGAAATTTGTACTGTCCAGTCCACGTGCACTTCCTACACACGCGACAATGCAGTGCACCTCCATCAAGTCTCCTCAAAGTGACGTCTAGGAAATGAAAGAGGCTGTTTTCCTCCATATCTTGAAAAATATTTGGAACCGATCGGGAAGTCATCATTTCAGAAAACTTGGTAGACGACCATAAATACATTAACCGGTCGTCTACTAGGTTTTCTGAAAAGGCTGTTTTCCTCCACTTCGTGGGTAAACTTCATCGCTGAGTGGTACTGGTTGAAGGCGTTTATTAGCTCATCAATACTTCGCGAAACTTGAGGTAAAACGAAAGATGTCATCCACATACCGGCAATATAGACTCTTAGTAGCCCACTGCCAAACCCGCTGCCTTGCAGACAGGCAACCTGACAGTACCCTGCCCACACAATACAATGAAACATTCATTAAACAATTTCCCGATGCTTTGGTCTTCGCAGAGGATAATAAACGGTGCCCTATCTGCTTCATCGAGCAGTGTGGATAGGGTTTTGGATGTTATTGCTCAAGCGTTCCCGTCTTCTTATCCCCCTCTTACGCTTTGTCACCCTTATCGTCCAACTGCAATTTCACTTTTATCTCCCCTCTTTCCAACTCTCCGATTCTTTGCTCTCCCCCACCTTGCTTTGATAGGCGTTTATCTTCAAGTTTCAAGTAACATGCAAACGCAAAGCGTCACTCCTACCCTGTCCACAATCCCATGTTCTACCAAGCGGTCCACCCCAGTTCATCGGCTTCCATTGGGAGCTCTCGATCCTGCTTCAGATTGGCGTGCCTCAATGTAAACACAATGCTACAGATCGGTAAACACGCAGCACTCGCCCGAAAATTAGATACCCTCTCGATCGATATCTGCTCCCTATCGGAAACCCGCCTACAAGACTCGAGCTCTGTGTTCACTTTGCGATCCCCTTCAGGTGATACCAGCGGTACTTTCTCGTTGCGCCTGTGCGGTGACGATGCGATTTCGAGCACCAGCCAAGCCAATGTTGGTACTGCCCGGAGTACTCGGCCTGAAGGTGCTCTGTTTGGTTGGATCCCAGTCAGTATGCGGATGTGTGCAGTCCGACTGGCTGGCTCGTTGAAGACCTCGAAGTCCCGCAGGACTGATGGGTGTTTATTTGTCATCGCGGCCCACAAAGTCAAGCGATGATTCGGTAAAAGACGACTTGTACCGTCAACAGAACTTGCTGCTTCGCCACAGATGAAGTAAGGACACTGTTGTGCTGACTGAGGATCTGAATGTTCAAGTTGGGAAATTATCCACCAATGAACTGCACCTTAGCAGTCAACACGGTGTAGGTTCCCGTAATGATAACAGTGCGCGGTTACTTCATTTGTGCGAAGATGCCCGTTTATTTCTTGTCCACACAATACAGTAAAACCTTCAGTAAACAATTACTTGATGCGCTGGTCGTCGCAGAAGGTAATAAACGGCGCCCTAGCTGATGCCTCCAGCAGAGTGCATAGGGGTTTGGATGCTACTGCTCAAGCATCTCGTCTGTTTATTCTCCCTCTTACGCTTTTTCACCCTTATTGTCCAGTTCCAACTTCACTTTTATCCCCCACGTTTACAACCTCCGATTATGATTTGATAGGCGTTTAGCTTCTAGTTTCAAAACACATGCAAACGCGGAGTGTCGCTCCTGCCCTATCGACAAGCCCATGTCTAACCATGCGGTCAAACACAGTTCATCGCCTTTAAATTTGGAGCCCTCGATCTTCCCTCAGATTGGCATGCTTTAACCCAGCGACTCCCGCGAAGTGCGTTGTTTGCGCGTCGGGCGTGTGGATGGAAGAAGAAGAGAGGCAGCCAAGCGATGACTTGGTCGAGAGGAATGAAAGCTCTGTCTTCGATGTAAGCCTCGGTTAGAGAATCTTGACACCCTGGTTGGGGTCCGAAAGACGATGAACACGTTTGGCTGGATACACCTGTTGACATGGCTAGGAGCCGACCTCAGTGGCGTTCGTGCTGCGAGTTTCCTTGTCAGTTCCCATGCTTCTTAGCCTCCTCTAACCACGATCTTATTATTTAGCATTACATAATTTTGCATAGTAATCTCTTTGCTGAATAGTAGCCGGCTAGTATATTTCGGAAACGATGCACATCCGTTAGCGGTTGCTCAACTGGCATGCATTTGTTGCATGATTTTGTTTCTATTTTTCTTTGAGACACAGTACCTGAGGTGTTTTCCACCTCTAGCTAACGTGTATAATGTATGAATGAATGAACATCGCAGTGTTGGGAAAGACAAAGAAGCACCAATTGCCCCGGATGTGGTCCCAGTGATCATATCATCATCATACTACATGTTAGCTGGAGGTGGGGAACACCTCAGCTATTGTGCCGCAATACATAGAAAAAAGGAGAAAAAAAGCAACTGGTGCAAACTGGCTGAGCTACCAGTAACGGATGGGCATCGTTCCGGTAAGCTACCAGCCTGCTGCTGTGCACCAAAAAAATTACTATGCAAAATTATATAAGGCTAACTATTGAGATCGTGGTTGGAGAGGGAGGCTAAGAGGAATGGGGTGGGACAAAGAAACTCACAGTACGAACGCCACTGAGGTCGGCGCCTAGCCATATCAGCAAGTGTGTCCAACCAAACGTGTTCATCGTCTTTCGGACCCCAACCAGGGAGCCGAGACGCTCCAACTGAGGCAAGCTTCGAAGTGAGGGCCTTCATTCCTTTGGACCAAGTCATCGTTAGCCACCCCTCCTCTTCTTCCATCCACACGCCCGGCCCACAAACAACGCACGTCGCGGAAGCCGATGGGCTGACATGCGTAACACGTGGCTGAGCCATCGGAGCCTGATGCGTGAAATGACGCTGATGAGCGGTTCATTTCCTTTTCCTGTGCCATAAACAAGCCGTCGAACACGTTCGTTGCTCACGCGGTGTTCCCATCAGATGTGAGCTAAATTACGAAGGCATCGGTGGTCCAACGTAACTAGCCTCTTTAGGTCCGTTGATCTCAGGGGCCAGGTTTCACAACCGTACAGTAGGGTCGAAGGTACCACTGCATTGTACACTCTACCCTTCAGGACGAGAGTGATGTCGCGCCGGCGCCATAAATGGCGAAGGTTAGCAAAAGCGCCTCGACATTTTGCTATACGGTTCGTGATCTCATCTTCAATCCCACGGGAACTGATACAAATTCCCAGGTAGTTGAATTTTTGAACGACTTCTAGCTGATCCCCACCAAGGGTCACCGTAGAAGGCGGTCCCGACCAATCTTGGAGGAACGCTTTGCACTTCGAGGGTGAGAAGCAAAACCCGAAGTGACGGACAGCTAGTGCTAATCTATCCAGTGTCGCTTAGCACGTTTGTGAGCTGTCACAGATGAGAGCAATATTGTCAGCATACTCCAAGTCACGAAGTCGTTCTCCTTGGAGCAGATCCACACCTTCTAAGTCGTGTCCTGTAAACGCGATCTCCATGACTTCGTCAATAGCGAAGTTGAAGAGGAAAGGTGACAGCCGGCATCCTTGTCTCACTCCGCTGGAGATATTAAAGGGCGACGACAACTTGCCGTAAGCCCTCACCCTGCCTGAGCTACGCGCATATAATGCTCGGATAATATTCACATATTTCTCAGGTACACCTTTCCTGAGTAGACAG